CATATATATATGAGACGCTGCAGAGTTCGAATGTTCTAAAGCTCATCTCGTGTGCAATTTATTCGCGTAATTTATTATAAAAAAAAGTACACTCCAAAAGTGGTGTTGATTCAAAGAAAAAAAAAACAATTTAAAAATAAATGTATTAAACAAACGCGTTGAATTTCGGGAGGAGTATTCCAATATTTTAGTTCATGTTTAAGGTTCTGTGGGCTAATATTTCGCAAACTGTTCCCCTTTCTTTTTTTCAATAATATGTATATTCCAACAATGTATTCTAACAATAAACGTGTGTATACGCGGAACAAAACATTGAAATAAACTGCCTGTTACTTACTCTCATAGGGTTTTCTAGGCTTCTGAAAGCCATTATCGAAATATAAGTGTTGTTTATCACTTCACGCTGGGATTCTCCAAGCCCGAGTTTAGCATGTAGCCATAGGTCTATCTGAAGCCTACCAGACGTTTACAAAACTCCACAGAGGACATACGTCCTTCAACCGGGAGAACGATACGTGATGTATGGCTTTATAGGCGTTTCTACAAAGGTGGTCTCGAAACAAAAGCTCCGTGCATGGTAACTGTAAGTAAACTTAATATTATTTACTGATTGTCGGCAAGAAAAGAACTTCACGTGCGCGCACACAAAAAAACAAAGCGCGACAAAAGCACTTCTAATATTTTACTACGCTCAAATGTTTGCGATGGATGCATATAGAGTTAATTCACGACTGCGTCTACAGAATGCATTGCCATCATATCCAATGCTCGCGCTTCATCTGTGATCGCATTACTCCTCGCCGTGAGTCCTCCACCAGAATGTACACTTCAGTGCTGGTCTGTTCGCTAGCAGTTAAATCGAAGTGGCCGGTGGCGGCTTGCCGAGGGTCGAATGCAGGTATGGGAAGTTCCACAGCGCCTATTCAGCTAAGGTCCAATTCCAGGGCCACGGCTTTGTGTCCAGTTTATGCTAACAAGCTCCTCTCGTCTAGCTCTCTAGGTTAGGGGTCACCCCCTAGCCAAACGGCCGAAATCCAACCAAAGCGTTGGACAGGGCACCTCAACTATGTTCAGTGATTTTAATGGCTTCAGTAGCGGCAAGCTGCCCTGTGTGTGAGCTACCGGAGACGCTCCGAAAAGATTCGTCAAAAGCTGACGATCCGCCTTTGTCAATGCAACGGATCATTGCGGGTCACGGTGGTGGCAGCACCGGCAGCTGAGAAAAAGAGAGGGTAGGGTGAGCGAACATTTTCAAAATACGTCCCTAGGACGGAATGATTCGACGTAACCGTGCAGTATACAGACATGACGATGAGTGGGGAACGGTAATGGCTCACAATAGCAACGTTACGCTTTGCTTTGATCTGCATTAAAATGGCTTGAAAATCTAAGCTCGTTTCTGAACGTCAGATGTTTACGTGCAGACCGCTAACTGGTTACAATATGTAGGGTGGAGGGTATCGGAATGAAACGTACTAACTTTGTGTGCACCACATTAGTACGAGTCCGCGTGCTAGGACGATTTTTTTTCGGAGCTGCAATTGTAGTCAATGCTGATATTGGGAGTGACTTTCAATATCGATTATTTAGATTATTGGAAGAACGGAAAAGCGGTAGCTGCATAACAAGGATCCTTAGACGGCACCAACATCCATCCTCAGTATCTAAATATGTGCATAGCATGTGGGGACGGTAATGGCGCGGCTCAATTCAACGTAGTGGTTATGTAGTGGTTGTCCTTGCATATATGACGCCTTCCGTGACCGTTGTGTAGCCCGACATTACTTAGTTTAGGTTTGTCTTTATCTCTATGGTGATGGCAGATCATGGCATGGTAATGCCTTCAGTTCTGCCCGGCTCCTTTATGTTAGGAAGTACATAATTATCTTTTACAAGGTAATAAAGATGAAAAACTAATTGACATCGAGATCACGCTAGTCTTATTAATCGGCGAAATATCGAGAGGCAGCTGTTCGCATCTTGAGTTTTCTAATGATATACATATATATATATAAATTTTAAAAAACTAGCCCGAACTAGTCGAAAACAACCAAAATGTAAAAGTATTAATCGATATTACTTTTGTATATAGTTTCTAACTATTATAGTAACGTTGTATATAAAAGTAGCGAAAAACAATATATTGGTTATCTATCTGAATGTCCTATAAACCTCCCTCCTATCAGTGGCTACGCGGCCACCCAGACACAGATGCAGCTTTTTAGGCCCACATAAAATCTATTTCTGTCTCTCGAGACGACTAGCCTGTAAACGAATTCTGTCCGGGTACGTACTATCCTCACTGAAAGCACTAATCGTCGCAACGACTAAAGCAATTAGGCATCAGTTACGTGCACAGGTTACCCTATCTGGACATGCCTAGCAGGTTATCTCTCTATTTGCATAGGTATTTAGTAGGTTCGAAGTCGAATAGTTTGACCTAGCGCTTCTACAGGTTATGGCCATTTGACTAGTTTTTTGTGTTGTTGTTCTCGCATAAATTTAACACGTGCATTTAAACGATCGGAAGCGTCTTGACGCTACGAAAAAAACAATGTGTGCAATTACATGCACAGTGTGTGCTCGGCGTAAGGTAGTACTACGTTTCAGTCTTTACCTATATTGCGTATCAATTTGCAAATTATTTCATATCGAAGGGGAGAAAAATGAAGAATGCTTGAGCTTGAAGAATCGATGACCGCCCTGAAGAACGACGGCTTTTTCGTTTCACTTGATAAAACGCTACCAGTGCTACCTACAACGTGTCTTCTAAGAGCGCTTACTTCGGTTTTGGCTGAACTAACGTTCCGAGTCTAACTTAGGTCACATTTAACCTTCGACTAGCTAGGTCAATGCCAATCTTCTTCGATGCTGTGATAATGTAAATGTGCGCGAGCAAAACTTTCATGTACGTTCTGCTTTTTTTAGCAATGTCGCCGTCACAACAATGCCTGTTATGACTATAACGTTTGTGCTATATGTAAACTGGGCAAGCCGAAAATGCCAAAAGGTACGAATATTACAAACCAGTAATGGTGGCCGACATGAGGTGAAGTTTGTATTGTCTATAGATATGCCCGTTTGTTATAAAGTTATTGTGAGGCCAGCAAAAACCTTGTCTGAATAAATGACAAATGAACAATACATCCCGTATAAAGTCTCTGAATATACTACAGGTTTCCGGTGGTACACGTACAACTGCGCTCGACTGCCCCAGTGGCCAGACGACACACACCTGGATTTCATTTTTTCATTAATACCAGTTGATAACTCAGCGTGACATTGTTTAAACTTGACGCCGAATGTCTAGGTAACATAACTTATAGAAGTTTGTCAGTTTATCAACAATAGTTAACCGTAGCAAAAAAATTTGTATTTTTTCTAATTATCAAAGGGGCATACATGATGCTTTCTACTACACCGTGCGATGTCACGATTTTCTTGCAATATCTTCTTCCACATTATAACTTGTTCAATGCTAGACCCAAGTACGTTACAATAGATGGCTGGAAATCTTTATGCCCATTAAATCGGCTTCGGTCTTTTCTAGAACAAAAGGGTGTCCGTTCATGATTTTGGACTACATTTCATACAGGAATGATCTTCGCGGTTGTCCCCATTCTATTTTCCAGCGATATGCTTCCTTGTTCTTACTTGTCTTCGAAACTTACAAATCGATCACCAGTCCAATACCGGTTTCTATGCCTACCTGTGTCATCCCCAATGAAAAATTTGCGTTTCGATACCCCGCCGAAGTCTAGACAATTGGTATCTAGCTACTTGAACATCGGCTGCTGTTGTCTCTGAACTTTTTCGACTTTTAGATTACACATTATTGTTCCAGCTCGCTAGCGGACATCTTGAAGCTAGGCGTACCTCTGTAAACATATGATATGTCCCAGTCGGCTTACGCTGTGCCATAGATAACTCGCCATATTCCACGCGAAAACAAACAAAGTCCGATGGAGAGAGACTAAATGAGAAGACACCGAGGTACCAGAACAGATAGAAAGAAAAAACTGAACTTCAGAATTTTACACGAGAGGGACCATGTAACATAGACTTATCTTAAATGTGAAACGCGAAGCTTCCGAGGTTCGCTGGCGAGGCTTGTCGTCGCATATCACTTCATCCCGATTGGCGTTCCACTATTTTCTTTCCGGTCGAAGCAAGAAAGGGCTTTCTGGCGGACACGGAAATGAATCTATTTATCAAGTAGATTTACGTAATGATACGGCGTAAATAAGAGCTGAAAGACGAAGGGAACACGACGTGTGTATAATGTCAGGCTAAACCGTTGCTTGACCACGCTCAGCAGTTGACAGCGCTGCTGCTATTATCAAGCACCAAAAAATAGCTTTGTGAGGGATTCTGGGGCGGAAACGGTAACAGATTCATTTGTGTCTATAGTTGTAGGCTTCTAGTTGTCGAGGTATAGTAAATTTAGATGATGACGATGGAGACGTTTTCGAATAGCCTAACGATGCAACGAAGGTAAGCAGTTGGGAAATTTCAGTGCTTAACGAGGCTGAAAAAGAAAAAAAAATGACGACGGAATGTCGGAGAGAAAAAAAAGAGCTTTTCATCTGCAGGAATAGTAACTATTAGAGACCGTAATTTACCTCAGACAGATTGAGAAGAGAGTAGTTTCGGTTTCAATTTGCACGTTTCAGGTTTCAGTTCCTACAGGTCTTTAAGGCCTATTTCGACTAATACACACGAACGACAGAAACAGTCGGACAACCTGCTGGACATATGTGAAAAATATGTTTTTTGACGAGACGAATATTTTGAGCTAGGTCAGTGTGTATAGGTATCGTTTTCGAAGGATGTTAAATGAAACATTAATTTTCGTTAAGGCCCGCCAACAACGTGGTTACCGTGAGCCTAAAAAGCCAATTGAATCGTTAGGGTACATGTTTTTGTAAGTTTTAAAGCTTCTGAGCTCGAAATCGCAGTGTCTTCTGTGGTAAGACAATGCATTGCAGATACAGAACAACGAATATAACAACTTGTATACTAAAGAATACAGTATTTTAGTAAAAAAATTTAACTTCGAGTATTAATGTGGTTGTATGTAAGAAGTCAAGGTATTCGTATCAGCCAATGTATCTTGATAACTTCGTATGCTGCACCTTATTTAATAAATATGTATATATACAAATGCGGAGTTATGCTTCTATGCACAATCGGAATACCTAAAACAATTTCCTTTCATAGTCCATCTGATAAGGTTCTAGTGTAAAACTCACACACTTGTCTGCAGACAGATGAAATTGTACCCTGATGATGAAGAGCCTACATTCAACCCTACCTTCTTTGTTACTCCTTTTGAGGCCTGGAACCGCTTGAAAAATTACTTCAGATTTCTTATAAGGACTGAGGAGAAATTGCTTCGTTTTCTTCACTCTTTTCCCCTGTCTTGTACGTTCTGTCGCTTCTCTTCACCGCTTGTTCTCGCTCGTTGAAGTTCCTCTTTTACGACGACCCCGAAAAAAAAATCGTTCCTTCACTTCACCTCTCTGTAGGCCCAAACCTGTGATGGACAATGTTTTTATCCATAGCCCAAGATATACGTCGCAGTACTTCTCTGCACTCTTCTTTAAGAAGTGCACATTCAAGTACACTTTAAAATAGCTATCCAAATCAGGTGTAGTTATGATGCGGACGATGTATATCTTTGCATTGGTCTAGGCCGCACACGTTACATCGCTGCTCACGAAACGCTGACGTAATATATTCTACAACTGGATGGCAATGGCCATGGGTTAACTGACATGGGTCTAGAATTTACCGGGAAAGTGGATACGAGATGATTTACTAGCTAACCGCGCTTACGGACAATTTTTCTTTCTTTCTAGTGGATCGGGGGGTTGAGTGAGATGGGTTTTCTCACGTCAATTCAATCTCGCTACGTGAAGCCATCTTTAATTGTTATTAGCTGATTCAGTAGTTTTCTTATTAACTTGCGCGTACTAACGTTGACAACTGAATAAGTCATCTGAGGTGAAATTTCATGCAACTAAATGTTCTACATACGTTTTATACCAGCTGAAGTCATGGTGTGCGCTTTCATCGTCAGAACAACTTTACTAGACTATAAGGTCTCTCATTCAAGCGATTCATTAAACTCCAATCCGTATGTTTTGAATGGTAAAAAACAACCCTGCTTCGCTGATTACTCTTATGAATTTCATCGACAAATTGGCGGTACTCTTTCCGGGTGCTCTTACGGCTATAGCCGTTGTGGACTTTCGCAGCAGAATATCATCATTAAACATTATAAAGCTGAGCGTAGCCGTTTTGAAAATCAACAAGTTACTCTTTCTTCTTACACTGCTTTTGTGTACATTTTCGAAAAAGATGCGCAGACGAATTTACCTGAAAGCTTTTAGCTGCATTGAGTTTGCCTGCTAACTTCGATCGGCCAGCACCGAACAAAAAAAGAAAGCCTCAAGACTAGTGGTAAGCTGTGCCCATTGCTAAGCAATGATGCGATAAACTTGAACTTGAATGAAAGAGCGACTAAAACTCCTGTATTTGTAGATAGTGAATTTAGACCGTGTGTCAAAATAGAAAAGTTTCATTTCGTTCTGAAAAATTCTAGTGCGATAATAGAATAGCGTTTCGGAAGAACGGAACGTGATTACAGAAATCCAAAGGAACCTTACATTGAAATATGTGCCTTGTACTAATATGTACGTGCTATGACATGGGGCTAGGGATCCGGGAAACCAGTAACTCGTCCTTTGGATCGGCGTAACGAAATGAATTTGCATCTCGTCCTCGAGTCACGTTCAACTTATATAGAACACACAGTTTGCCATTAATTGCCAGTGTCTGAGATGGGAAATCGGCAAAGATAACAAGAGCCAATGCGTTCGTTATCATCAGTCGTATCAAGAAGTTAGCGAATGTTGGTTCCCTTTTGTCCCATTATTATAATTATCTTTTTTTAATTTGCTTGCAAAATTTTTTCATACGGGTGATCACTTTTAATTTACTTTACACTGTGATAACCTGTGTCGCCTTCTAATATTTACTTGCAAGGCTTTGTAATTTCAACGATCTTCCAGTGTAGGAATACAGAAGATATTTTCAAGAATCTCTAAATGTGTATTGCTTCATGCTGGATTGCTTTGTAAAACATAACCAGATCATTCGGACTACATCTTCTTACCTCAGCGGTGCGAATGATCGCATTCCGCATTCGTGAAGAGCTCCTCGGATCTGCGCATCCTATCCTGGTCTCTAATAAAGCAAAGTCGATGTTCGACAACGGTCCGGTACCGGCGTAGAGAAAGACAGCGATCGTCGCACTTTAAATTGCCTGTAATATATTTCAATGGTCAATGGCCGAAAACAGCCGCTGCCATAGGAGCGGTAGCAACACCAACAATAATAATGACGACCTAGACTCAATATAGCCGAGCAATGTCATGACGGCAGGAATTCCCGTGAACCACACCCCCCAGACTCGCTTCAAATCCTTAGCCAAAATTTTATGTTAAAAATATCTATCTAAAAACGAGCTTAATGCGGATCAAGTTTAACTTTCTATTACCTCAATCTATCATGATAATATTGTATTTTTTCGTTCTAACAAATAAAAAAAGTATTTTCAGGAGAAATTTTGGTATAACTGTGAGCTACTTTAATCAACTGTAATGTTTTTTTTTTTGGCATGCTCTATTATCAAGCGAAGCCTTGATTTCGTTATTGGTGATCGATCACCCTCTCAAAAGGAATATTTGTACATAGGCAGATGAAGAAACGGCGTTTTCCGGGGCTAAAGTAGACTAGGTCCGAGGTCCTGTGCGGGCTTTGGCCTCTTTCTTATGAGTTTAATGCATCAACCGATTATGGATGAACGTTGGACAACAGAACAAATAGACGTACACGCTTTCCATACCTGCTGAATGACTTACACTGAGGAACAATTTTCTTTGTATAGGACTTTACATTTATACGCTAGCCATTTTTGCCAAATTAACAATTTTTTCTCGTATGTGGCAGTTATAGCGTTTTTGTAAGTGCAATGGGTGCTTTCCCGAAGCGAAAAAGGCTAGGAGCGGTATTTCGATAGAATCGAAACGAAGACCACAAGACGTGCTTTTCCCTGCTAACGACTACGCTATTACCGTTACTTCACGCAGTTATCAAAGGAACAGTTGCGACACTCGGATTGCGGTAACCAAGATGTTCCTGGATACAAAAAATGTTAAGGAGATAAAACATCGCCAATAATGTTACAGGTGAGATTTGACAAAGAAACGAACGAGTAAAAAATTGTCTTGGATTTCCTGTTACCGAAAGACACGATATAATAATGTTTAGGATAACTTCTTTGTTAAATTGAGCAGGTCAGGTTTCAATATACAGTTGGGAATACGACCTTATTCTATGGAAAATACTGTTGTTTTCGCTGCTTCGACATAGAATCATGCCTGGAAAACTACAGAGAACAACACAATGCATCCATTCATTCAACAGAAACAAATCGTTTAGAATGCTTTTTAGCATTATCTGCTTGTTCTCATGAATATATCTACATAGATGCTATGCTGATAGTGTCTGTAAAGTACTTACCGTAGAAGATTAGGGTACCTTAATGCCTAAAATCCGTTCAGTTTAGGAGCTTTGAGTACACGCCAGCTTGCTTGTGTATAGAGATAGATGCTGATATACCGAATGCAGCTATCACAAACTTCTGTGAGTTTAGGACCCTAACACCCTGGCACCCCGAAGTTCCGTAGCAATTTCGAACGTGTAAACTGGATAATGACTTTGTATCCGGTTACGATGATCAGATGATATCCGGCTGACTTGTAAGCGATCACTGATAGATGCCAATACAAAGGCTATTGTTAAATGCTTCCGGTATTATCCGTTAGAGCTGAGTAGTGGAGCACAGGGTTGAGCCGGCAGGATTAACAGTACTGAAAATCTAAAATAATCTGCAGTCGCATATATTGTACAATTTACCATAATTTTTAGAAAACGTCGTATTTTACGAGCAGAAAAACAGACAATGTCACTTCTGTGATCGCAGACCTCTTTCACAAAGGACAATCAAACCCGCCTTATTCACGTGCGCCTTCAACTGAAGAGTGATATATTACTTTTCGCTCCCAATGGCCACATGTTGAATATTTCACCCCTTATTAGCACAGGTCTGTGCCGATCCCCGCACTTTTACTTTTCAGATCTGCAATTTCCTTCGGCGAGCCTTTGTTATTGCTAAGGTGGCAATGAACTTCTTCTATGCATGCTTTAAATATCTATGTGTAGCCAGCTCTCAGCCGGTAAATTGCTCAAACTAAGAACCTGCTATCCGCCGCGGGTTCAGTCTCCACCCGAATTCATTTAACGTTTCCACATGGTATAGGTCATGGCGATACATGGTGTGTTCTTGAACTACTTCTCCTTGCAAACCTCGTCAGCTATACATACCATACTGTAGCATCAAAATACACGAGAAGAAAAACGACGTCCAGGAAACCCAAGGAAGCTCCTAGAGTGACTGAGAACTACTCATATGACGGTGAGATCAAGCTTCGTCTGCCGCCTCTACGACGGCAGAGACCCAACTGCGGTCCTATGAGACCGGTAGTGCCCCACAGCAGCCCACTGAAGCCTCCTCCATCATAAACTACTGTCTTTTGCAAAGCTGGCTATGTAATGCTTTGATCTTACCCTCAAAGTAAGAACAGGCTGTGGATGCACCTCGTTCGAGCAAGATTTCGACATGTTAGCTGATCGAGTCAGGTTTGTTTCGGAGTAACATAGAACTGATCTCGGTAGAAAAATTCCCTGTAGAAGGCTGTCCTAGTAGACTATTGTTTTCCGAAGGTCGACATATTATTTGGATATGCGTGCCTATTTATAGATGAGTAGCTTAAGGTCCAATGGTAGAAACAGCTTCAAGCTGTATAGTGCTACAGGTCTTTGTTAATAAGAAAATAGAATCGCAGGGTGAAGAGATTTTATTCAGTTTTGCGTCATCATCTTCTAAGATTTCTAACGAATGTCTGTGCCAGATGAATTAACCAATTTATTATTATAAATTTTATAGGGAAAATAAAGCTCGACTGTTTCTGAACGATAGTTAGCATGGTGAGACCGAGATGATGCAAGTAGCTTTTAGTAGAAAATAAAAGTTCTTCAGTGGACTCTCAAATTTGTCATGAATTTTCGATAAACCGAAATCCCTGTAGTCCACTTTTGCACAATTTTATTAGAGACAACACATTTATTGGAAATAATTCAGAACACTAAATAACTGAATTTTTTAATAGCCGTATACGTCAGATGTAGGGAAAAAAAGTGTAGATAATATTTCGTTTCTAGGCTAATTTTGTTCGGATCGTTTCAGAGAGAAACATTCAAGTAAACTCCCTTAAAGGGCAAAAATTCGACTGTTTTGGGAAACATGTCCTTAATAGGGTTATATTGTTACACCAAATCGATCTGTTTTTCTTTAACTCCCAGTTGAGCACCGCGTTAAGGCATCGCGTCTCCACTATGAGGCCATTTGGCTAACCCGATCAGTTGGCCTGTACATAAAATATTTCTAGGCAACGCAAACAAGCCGTTCGTGTCCTAACGTGAGTTAGAACATGGCAATATGGTACTTCATTTCGATTGTTTCCCACAGCTTGGCCGCGCTGCGTAAACTCTGATCGATTCGAGTGATATGTTAAATTTTCCGAAACACCCAACAGAAAATATTCGATTCCTTCTGGATGAAACTAGCATAGTAGCTCTTGAGTCGATTAATTTAAGTCGTCTAGTTCAAAATAAGCAGAAGACAGAGAGGACGCGTTGTTTGCTTGATAGGGTCTTTCAATATATTAGCTATTTACAAGCTCTTCTGAAGCTTTGGCTTGCTCAGCATTACATTAAATATACAGCAAATCACGCTCGTGGATCGCGGGCAACGTTTGAATTGGAACTACTTGTATGTCATACTAAGGGCTTCTGTATTACACTCTCGCGTCAATAGAGATCCTATCAAATTTAACACGTGACCTCTTACGCGCTAAGTCTAGCTAGCTAGTTAAATGTTAGTGAACGAGCTTTGAA